GCAGCTTTGGCCACAAGCACTGTCAAGGCTCAGGAGCAGGACTCATTCCTCAAGCAGGTATAAATGGTGCAGCACCCTCAGTGAACTGAAATAGACGATGGAGGTGGGGGCCCTAGGGGCACAAGGGGGAGGGTGCTGGGACACTGAGGGAGGCATCTGGATCCAATTGGTGTGCTCAGAGGAGAGAGCTAGGTAGATAAGGGATCAAGTGTCTGCTCCTTGCAACCCATTGGGGGGCTCTGGTTAGGTCATTGGCTTCATGGGCTCTCTGTTTTCACACTGAACAATGGGAAACCACTAACTGAGCAAAGAGAAAGCTCTAGACCCAGCCTGAATCAGCATCCCAACTAGGTCCCTGCTGGGCTGGGTAATCTGAGGGGTCACTGGACCTCTCTGAGCCTTGGAGATGGGGTGGGATGTGCTCTTGGAGCCAGAGGGACCCCCTCTTACCAGAAATGCCACCTCTGCCATCCAGAATGTCTTGGGGGCCCTCCTTGGTGACAGGCAAGTAACGGGCAGATCGAAAGATGCCACCTTCTCCCTCGGCGGCCTCAGCCCCACCCTCGATGTCCTCTCTTGGTGCTGGACCAGGCAGTCTCTCAGGGCCACGGGGATGGTCTGGGGCCACTAGGCCCCCTGCCAGGGCCCCGTCCATGGGTGCTTTCTGCAAGGCTCCCGTCAGCTTCCAAGCTGACTCAGTGGGGCATTGTGGGCCTGAGGACAAAGAAAGAAGTGCTTAAGGGTGGTGGCAAAGAGGTCCTGCTTCAGAGTCCCCTCCCTCAAAGTCCCAGATTTCAGCCAGCGCCTCTGTTTAACTCCCACCACACCCACCCACCAAAAAACAACATTGTTATCAAGTTGATTCTAACTCATGACAGCCTCATGTGTTACAGAGTTCATAGGAGCTCCATAGCATTTCTTCATACAAGCCAGTGGCCAAGCCTTTCATCCACGGAGCTGCTGGTTGGGATGGAACCACCAATCTGTAGGTTAGCAACTTGTGCCACTCAGGAACCCCTACCCAGTCCAGGTGAGTTAATCAAATGGCTCCTAGTCCCCATGCTGGGAGTCCTGGTGTGGCACTGTGGGTTAATGCGCCAGACTGCAAAGCTGTTTGAACTGCAAGATCGGTGGTTACCAGCAGCTTACCAGCTGCTCCTTGGAAACTCTATACAGGGTCGCTTATGGATCGGAACCGATTGGATGACACTTAACAACAACAACAACAAAGTCCCCATGCTCACACACATACCTAGAATTTTACCAACATTTGAATACCTTGGTATCCCCATCAATAACTCCTCTCTGCACATAGATCCCACACTGGTCCCATGGACTCTAGCTGCACACCCTCACACCCAGCATTAACCCTGCCCTGCCTCCCTCCTTCACACACAGAAGCACTTTCCCCATTATGTTCTTGCTCCCCTGCAAGTCCCATGCCTCTCCAGCACCCAGCCCAACCCCGTCCACACACCAGCTCTGTACACTATCTCCAGGTCCCCCCTAACTGCCCGTGCACTTTTTTCACACAACACCCGCCTCAGTTTCCCACACCAATTAAGTCTGCACTTTTCCTACACTCCAACCTTCCCCCCACAGACCTGAGGGTCCTCTTGCATTAACCCCTTCACCTCCTCATGCAACCTCAAATGATCCTAGCGTAAAACACTTCACTTCTTTCCAACATCAACCCCTCATGCACACCCAGTCTGGGGTCCTCCATCCCACCCCCCAAGAATGCTCTAGTCCATGGGACTAACGGTGGGGCTCATGGTCCAGAAATGAGGGCCCCGGAGAAGATGGGAGGGGGGCTGTCCTCTCCTCCTATAAATACCTTCAAGGTAACGGCAGAAAGTGAAGGGCAGGAATGAGGCGCCCTCCCCAGGGAGAGAGTGGGGAGGCCGGGCCCAGGCAACCGGGGCGGGGCCGGGACTCCGGGCCTGGCTGCAGGCGCTGCCCTCGGGGCCTGGGGACTCCCAGGGGGCCTGTCCATGGGCTGGCAGCCGTGACGGGGGTCCCTGCCCAGGCCGAGAGGAAGCACCTGCTGGTGTCCACCATATAGGCACTACCCTCGGGAAACGGGCGGGACCGCAACTTCGGGGCACTTTGGCAGCGCTGAACAGGGGGTTCAGCCCAGACACCCCCCCACGGTTGCACGGTGGGGGCTGCGCTGAGCCGGCGTGCCCCTCGGGGGTCCAGGGTCCTGAGGATGCGCCCTTCGCCCGTGCACCTCGGGGCTGGAGACCCCGCGGGGCGCAGGGGGGGAAGGGGGACACCTGCCCCGGGTCAGAACTGACTCGACAGCACTTAACAACAACAACAATATGGGGATACTAGTGGGTAAAGCATTGGATCCTAAGGTTGGTTTGAACTGCAAGGTTGGTGGTTCAAATGCACC